TAAAACGGGTTAAGCGGTAGCCATTTAATAATTTAAGTTATACTTAATTGGTTTAATTTTCATCATTATAAAAAATTATCAGTACACCTCAGGCCGTTTACTTTTTCCCATCGATCTTGAACTTTTAACTATAAGGTGGTGCTTTCTGGTAACTGGAATGCAAATTGGAGTGTAAAGATGTAGCGGTACAGAAGTAAGCAGCCAGTGGAATTTTGTCGGCACTAGAACATTAGAACATAGCTCAAATCTCAGTGCGCTGTCACGAAGCAGTATTAACTAATTCTTCGGATTTCTGAGACATATAATGGGGGAATCAGTGAAGTGGGAGTAGAATTGGAGAAGGGGGGGGGAGCCAAGCACCAAATAGTAAATTTATGAGTGGGAAACCAATCGGTTGAACATATCATGAAATCGATGGGAAATTAAACATAATTGAGATTAAACTAGATTAGAATATAATAATATCTACACGGGTTAGAATAATATTAACATTTATGCAGGTGTTATAAAATACAGAAAATATATACAACTATTTACAAGAGATTGACAAAAAAAAACTGTCAAAGACAAAGAAAAGGTTATGTAAGCTATAGATAGACCGGTAACTACATTGTCTGTGACTCTGTTATTGTAGTGACCCAAGCGTCTTAGTAATACTACTTGTTTCTAGGTTGCTCACCACACTAACGTTATCAATGTATCGTCCCGGCGGCTGCGACCCATTTGCGTTGCTGGCATACCGTGGTGTCGATGAATTGTCATGTTTCAACACGTTCACGCCGGAAAAAGTGAAAATACTGGTGGAAGAACTATTTCAATATTAGATAATATTCGGGAGGAGTTAATCTATTCTCAACAATAACAATTCACTGTAAGGAAATTTATCACGGCGAAGAAGCAATTCAATATAAAAATTGCATCCGTTAAAAACAATCGGTAGTTATGGATTTTTATTACTCCCGGAAAAAAAACTAAAAAATGAAATTTATTTGTTAACAGTTTTTACTCCAGTGTGCTGCCAAGATGAGACAATCTAGAGTGACCCACCGGTGGGTCACCCCGGCGTGAACGTGTTAGAATGTGTTTAGTTGAGATTAAATTAATGGAGTGATGATTTGGGGAAAAAGGGATAGGTTGATAGGATTCAAGAGTGACGTTTTCAATCATATTATCTATCTTAATTCTATCTAATGTTAAATTGTAATTAGTTGCGAATCAAAAAAAAATTGTTGCCTTATGTGAGCAAAACTAAGTTCTTTTTCTAATTTTACAAGTTGCCCTTTTTACAAAAACGTACGCTGCTTGAAAGTCTAAACTAACACTGAAATTAACACATTAATTTTTACTTTTACCAAATATTTTATTCTTTTCCATTAGCAGAGATGCTAACTGCTCCGAAATCGAAAGAAAAAAGAACAGTAGAGAAAAAAAGTTAGAGAACTACAACTTGAAAGCTGCAGATTTTCGATTAATTCAATTTTGACAATTTTTTTAGAAGTCTCAACGCAAAACAAAGTGACTAAACGGCATATGACATAAGCCTTTTAATTATTTTAAAGCAGTGCTGAGTTAAAATCAATCCTATAAATCGAATTTGCTAAACAAATAATTATACATTAAACGACTACTCCTCGAAAATATTTATTGAAATTGAGAGAATTGCCATCTCTATATAAGTTATTCAAATTTTTAGCAAAAAAAAAGAAGAAAAAAAAATCGAAATAATTTCATATCGACGTGGTGAAAACAATTGAAAGTAAAGTTTTATAAAAATAAATAAATAAAAATAAATATTTTAAACAAATATGCATATTAGAATTCTTAGTTAAAATTCGACTTACTTTTCGATCGCGTCGGACATAATCATCATTCCAGGTGTTTGGAAGACGTTTTCATTCTCATTCTGCTTTACAATAATGTCATCCTTATTATCCATTACTATATTTTTATCTTTATTATCCATTACTATATTTTCATCCTTATTAGTCATTACTATATTTTCATCCTTATTATCCATTACTATATTTGCATCCTTATTATGCATTACTATATTTTCATCCTTATTATCCATTACTATATTTTCATCCTTGTTATCCATCACTACGGTAAAATTGTAAGTGATTGTTTATCTAAATAGACGAAAACTTTAACCCTATAAAATGTTTATCTCGTTTCCCTATAGCAAAGCAAACTTTTGCCTAACTTGTCCTTTTCACAGAAAAGCTGGTTGTTTAAGAGAACGGACGCAGAAGTTGACACAATGTTTGATCAGCACTAGGGTTTCCACCTGCGTGAGCTATAAACGCAAGCTGATGTTTTTGAAATGGACAAATGTCAACTCTAAGAAGAGAATCACTTTATTGTCTCGTAATAATTGACGATTTTCAGACATTTTTTCGCCTCGATTTCTATGGACCATAAAACAGAAGCGCTGCACACATAAATATATTGTCTTTATCAATGAAAATGTATAATGTAATAAATATTTATCCGAACAATAAGAGCTCGTTTAGAGTTGGGAGATTTTATTCTTTATTCAAGAAAAGTTCGTTATGAGTGTGTGTGGACATAATTTAAAGCGGTACTTTTTTTGAGTTGAATTTAAGATTGTTTTTTCCTTAAGTCAATGGCGTCGGTAAAACATTTCGTGGTCACGATGGGTTTTAAGTTCATTGATAGTTGTTTATGTAATTCTTATTGTTTTCAGAAAGCAGCGCATTAAAAATATGTCGTATACAGGGTAATTCGTGCATTAGTTGGAATTTTTTTTTCTTAATTTTACATTAACCGCTTGCTTTAGCAATTTTTTTTATAAAAAACCTAAAAAAATTTGTATATATAAATACAAAAGTCTATAATGTAAAAAACTGAATTAAAATAAAATATATAGGTTTTAACTGTTTAACACGTTCACGCCGGGGTGACCCACCGGTGGGTCAAGCTAGATTGTCTCATCGGGCGGCGCACCGGAGTAAAAACTGGTAGCAAATAAATTTCATTTTTTAGTTTTTTTCCGGGAATATTAAAAATCCATAACCACCAATTGTTTTTAACGGATGCAATTTTTATATTGAATTGCTGCTTCGCCGTGATAAATTTCCTTACAGTGAATTGTTATTGTTGAGAATAGATTAACTCCTCCCGAATATTATATAATATCGAAATAGTTCTTCTACCAGTATTTTCTCTTTTCCGTCCCGCTTTCAGGCGCAACACCCGGCGTGAACGTGTTAAGACACTGTGTGCCCAATCATCACCTCCTGCATCAGAAAGCTTCCACACTGTTTTTTATAAGTAGTCTGCGCAGACTTTTTAAAAAGTGAACCAGTTGTGCGCATGAACCCAAATTCTATTTTAAAAGTAAATGAGAGAAATTTATCATATATATTTGAGAATTGAATCTGTAGGGGTTGACATGTAAAGACAAACCAATCATATATCTAAATTAAAAAAGTTTCAAACACATATTTGCTACCACTTTTTTATTTTTACTAGATTTTTTATTCAATTTCTCCCTAGTTATGGTTTACTTTCGTAGTGGTCTTATCCGACTACCTATAAGAAACCACTGGAACGTAAAACTATGAACAACATGGAGATAAAGGCCGTTCAAATATTACGTTCGCACTTTTATTGACAAACTTGGTCTCTCTGCCTTTTGGCAGCAAAAGTAAGTGAATTTCGAACAGTGAATAAGTAAGTAGCAATATCACTTTTGTTTTCTGCTTCAACACGTTCACGCCGGGAGAAGAGAAAATACTGGTACGGGAAAAGAGAAAATACTGGTAGAAGAACTATTTCAAATTAGATAATATTCGGGAGGAGTTAATCTATTCTCAACAATAACAATTCACTGTAAGGAAATTTATCACGGTGAGGAAGAAATTCAATATAAAAATTGCATCCGTTAAAAACAATTGGTAGTTATGGATTTTAATCATTCCCGAAAAAAAAACTAAAAAATGAAATTTATTTGCTACCAGTTTTTACTCTTTTCCGTCTCGATATATATGGGCTTTCAGCCCTGATGCTCAATCATAATCATCGAAATATATCTGGACGCCAGGGGACGTGGTCTTTAAGGTGGTTCTTTCTGGTAATTGGAATAGAAGGAAATTAAATATTTCCCTGATGCTCAATCAACTTCCATTCTAAATATATATCATTGATTGTGTTGTTGTAAAGAACAATAGTTAAAGGAAATAATATAATATTGAAGAAATTAAATTCTACCTCTTTTTTATTTTATTTCCTAAATGCAGAGATGCCAACTCCATACCTACTAACTTTTACGCATTTGGCGTAAAATTTTATTTCCATATTTAAAGTGGTAGTAAAATGTATACTTTCTATATATTCCTTGCATTTGTAAACTTAATGTATAATCTTTTTGACCACCACTATTTTTAAGAAAATTAAGCATATATAAAAAAATGTAATACGAATGTTGTAGTCTGCATAAACTTTTTCAAAATACAGCGTTTGCTTCTGCCTAAAATTGTAATTAGAATTCCGTTTTACTACCACTGGGGAAAATCGTCCTCGGAAGGATTAAAAGTTGGCATGTATGCAACTCCTCCGGACACTCCAAAATAACTTAAAAAATTGTAAATAACTACAAAGTAAATTTTGCAAATATTTGACTATTTTTGCTTGCTATTTAACTGGTATAGCATGACATATGTAGTTTAAAGTGGTGAATTATATAAGCCTACGAATTACTTAGAAATAGAGGTGGATAAAAATATACTAAATTGAATTTATTAAACCAAGAATCACAATTAATAAACTACCACCTTAAAATCTATATTTGCTGTCCGGAGTAAGTTGGCATCTCTGTAAACGTAGGTTCCGACATTGATTAATACTATACCACCTTTTCCCCAAAGGTAATTTTATCATTTCAAAAAGTTTTAAATCACTGGTTGATGGAGAAATGGGTTAACAGTTTTGCAGTTGAATAATTTGAGAAGCTAATACTAAAATCACAATTAACTGACCTCTCAGCTGCTTTATCACATGCTTCAAGGGTGTCGACAGGTGGCAGGTCATCTTCTCCTTCCCCAGAGCTCCCATTTGTTGGGGATCTAGGAGTCGAATCTTTTGTTTTGCGTACAAGGACAGCAGAACCTATCAAAAGAAAAACATACATATATCTCCTGAAAGTTTTTTTCATATATAGTCAAAATATAAAAAAAATTGGGAAAAATCACTTTTCAATATTTTATTATATTTTGCTAGTCTAAAAAATATAAAAAGACCATATTGCATTCATTACATATTTTTGCATAATTAGTACTGATAGTCCACTGTGACACGGCTGAAAGCCTTTATATAGCAAGATAGAAAAGTGCAAAAAATGGTACGAAAGACATTTCATTCAAGCATTTTTTTTCAGAGAAAAATAAAATATCTGTAACTATCAAGACTTCTTTTATAATTTTAGCATATATATAATGCTGCTTCTTTTCCAGGATAATGTCATATAGCTAAATTAAATAACAAATTAAACCGAAAAGCCCCCTCTTGCTCTACAGCAAATTTCAATGAAATATTAATTTGACTGAAGACAAGAACATCAGACCAATAACAGCATACTATTGCAGTAATGCATCATATTCCCGACATCAGTAGCATATACATAACCTCATTTTCACCATATCTGCTTAGCTAAAGTTCATACTTTTACAATATAATCTTATCACCCTACTGCATATAATCACACAGTCAGAACATCAATGATCCACGTGAATACTCTTTTACTTCATTTGCATTCCACTACCTCAACGAAGCACCACACAGATCAAGCTCAAGATGAATGGGAAAAGGGCAACAAGCGGCCTCAGGTGCCCCAATATTTTATACAGTTCAGTTCAGTTCCAAGATAATGTAGTAGATATTGCTGAATAGTTTAAAAAAAGAATATGCAAACTCTTCCCGAAAACTAGATAACTGAAATGGTTTTACTACCAGCCTTTTCTCTTTTTCGCCTCGCTTTCACCCATGCACATTAGTCTCACCATTCACAAGATCTTATGGTAAGCATAGATACCAATTCAGGAAGGCGGATCAGTTGGCATCCTCTTGCAGCTACCTCAGACCCCACAGTGTGCTTTAAGCGTTAAACTGCTTTATTTTCCATTAACGGGAAAAGTGCCTTTGTGAAAACCATGGCAGCAGATTAGCATATAAATTAAATGAAAATTTTTGTCAGTTAATGGTAGAATGGTAGAAATCATATAAATCTCGGTGCGCTGCCGCGAAGCGGCATNAAGTTTTTTATTTTTCATTTAAAGTTTTGTTGCCCACAACTACCATGATTCAAATATTTATGTAACATGTCACTTGTTGTTTCTAATGCGACTTACCAATTCCAGAAAGCCTGCTTGGTGTTACTTTTTCTTGTGACGTCACATTAAAGTAATTTTGGTCTTTTTTTATCACTTAGTAGTTACTTTCGAATTTTTTTTTTCAAAGTTGGAAGAACACTTCATGATTTTTGAAGACTATTTCAAAGTCTCAATCATGGTTTCAGTGTGACAATGTAGTTGTCATACAAGATGACTACTGTCTGGAAAAATTGGGTGACAACTACTTCATGAGCTGTCGTAAATTATATAATTTTTGATTTTCACGTCATTATCAGAGATTTTCTGGTCAGTTGTAAAGCAGATTTTTAATATACAAATATTTTTGCTGTTGGTTAAGTTATAGTTGAGACATTTTGTTTTTTCGATCTTTTTCTACCCTTATTTAAATTATTTTGGAAAATGGTTACACTAGCATTCAGGTTACGCGACTTTATGGCAAGGCTATTGTCACAATCCGGGAATGGAGTTAGGGAACTGTTTTTTAGTAACCAATGGCTTAAAACATTGAAGTTAGACTTGAAATTAGAAGATAAAAAAGTTGCGACATAAATTAAACAAACAACCGGTGACTTTTTTCCATTTTTTCCCCTCTTCTCTCTCTCTTTTCTTTTATGAAAATTGTTTAACTATAATTTAATCCAAGGAAAAAAAAAGTTTGCAAAAAGCGGCCATTCACGCCGGGTGTTGCGCCTGAAAGCGGGACGGAAAAGAGAAAACACTGGTAGAGGAACTATTTCAATATTAGATAATATTCGGGAGGAGTTAATCTATTCTCACCAACAACAATTCATTTTAGGAAATTTATCATGGCGAAGAAGTAATTCAATATAAAAATTGCATCCGTTAAAAACAATTGGTAGTTATGGATTTTTATTATTCCCGAAAAAGAACGGGAAAATTATTCTTTNCGGCCATTAAATGAAAAGAACCTGTCGATATCGGTGACTCATTAAATTTAAAGAAAAAGTGGCTACTAAGTTATTAGAGCCTACCAACCACTGGCTATTAACAGAAAAATTAAATTTTCTGGTCCAGTGATAGATAAAACGATAAAAACTTTATTTCTTCTTATATTTATTACGAAACTTAAAATTGCTTAAAAATTGATTTTATCATGCTTCGAATCACTAGCTTCTTCTCGGTCCGCATAAATTCTCCTTTTTTCTTTTCCACAATTTCTTCACTTCGCTTGAGCTTTCCAGTTACCTTTAGTTCGTTAACTCATAATTTATCACTTCTCGAATAAAATCTTTATAAATAAAATATTGTTTTTTAGACATCAAATAAAGAAATGCTAGCAACACTCTAAAAGAAGAAGAATAAAGTAAGTTTAATAAAAAGGGTTTTTGTAAAAAATGTATATATATGAAATTTTTGAAATTTAAATGTAGTGGAAAACATACTTCGGTTTCAATTGCAAAGTTGGATATCTGTAACTCTGAGTTCAATTTGTTCTGACGATAGAATATAAAATAAGAACCTCTATCACAAATAGAAGAAGAAAGGAATCCTGCTTGAATAACGAAGATGAAATTTCCGAATAGATAAAAAAAAATGCTTTTACTGAATTGAAATTTTTGATAATACAATCTTATACATATTAAACTTGTATGACTTACATGTGTTTCAGATATAAACCAAACAGGATAGTTATAATCTAATTTATTTATAATATATTTCTGTACATTAACTAGGAAGTAAATAGTAGGAAATAAAATAACTTTTTATCTCTGTTCTTAAATTACATTTATATGAAAATGTAAACTATATTATAAAAAAAAAAATATTTTATTCATAAAATTATCTCTGAACTTATTTTATGAATAGCTGAATTATTAACTGAATAATTATTAACTGAATAATTATTAATTGAATTGTTATTAGATATTTTTTCGCACAAACTGTTTTGTTTGTACATTCGTATTAAGACATATGTTTTAACTCTTTAAGGCAGATGAGACACCGGTGTCCATTTCATATTTCTTTTAGTCTATAATTGCAAGCAAAAATATGTTTCGGTGTTTCTTCATTATAAAAAAACAGTTTAATAAATACTAACTTTTTTTTAGAATATCGTAATTATATTTGTACTAAAATATAAAATCCCCCCCCCCAAAAAAAGTGATTTTTTTTTCTTTCTTATTCTGAAATTTATCAATGATTGATTTTATAAATTAAAGAGTGTTGAATATCACTTTCTCATAGATATAAATAACTGCAAATATGCAAAATTATTGTTTGGAAATGCCAAATTTGGAAGATTTTACCTTTAACGCAACAAAACACGGGGCACTGGTGTTTTTTATGCTGTACTTCATAACCATGAACTATTAAAATTCTAAATATAATATCTTACACTGATTTTGAAATAAATTAAAACGAAATAATGAAAAAACAAAGTGAAATATTTTTAATAGAAATTCTGCGTCAAAGGGTTAATTTTGGATCACATCATCGATATTTATTTGAATTGAGATCAATTGATCAATCATCGATCAATTGAATTGAGAGGAGCAAAGATCGCAGATAAATTTTAAGACGGAAATAACTGGCGTAACAGTCTTTATAATCTTTTTTTTTTTTTAATAAGTCATCGTTAGTGCTTGGTAGGTTATAGGGTTCAGATACATAAGAATAAAAAAATCTAAGAAAAGATTTAAAAGTCAACAAAATAGATTAACACTATGTGCAAATTTCTTCAGAGATGCACTCTCTTTTGATACGTGCAACTACTTAAATAACTTTGATTTTGAGCTCATGAAAGACAATATGAAATATAGCCCGGGAACAGCCTTTTTCCTATCCGATGGGGTATTGTCCCGTAAATTTTGTAAATACTTGTATATATTTTTAAGCATTTATTATCATGTATTTTTCCTATTTCTCTGAGGCTATGTGGCTACTGTGCACCTGAGAAGCTCGNTACCGGGGGGGGGGGGGGCGAGGCAGTCTGCCACAAAAACCTCTACTCTCTCTTTAATTTGTTTGTTTAATCTCGCCAATTTATTTTAATTTTCACTCAGTAAATGTTACGGAACCCCAACTTCCACCATTCAATTGCGCTTCTGCGATTTATCATACATTCCCACTCAGATGAATTAGTTAGAGCCTCTTTGCTGGGCTGATGCTAAGATAACTACCACATTTGAGTATGAGTTCGTTCGTTGTAGTGGAACTGTGTGTCTGAGGCCTTGTTGCCCTTTTCCCATTCATCCTGAAATTAGTCTAAGAAACAAACATACACGACAAAAATAAAGTTTGGGGAGCAAAATGGAGTCCGTAAGAGGAGAAAAAAATGGCACTTTGCCGTTATTAGGTAATAACAAAATTACAAGTAATGAAAAGGTACATGAAAAAAGGTAAAATTAAAGTACAATGAGAAAATAAACACTAATGAATATTTACAGTTTGGGAGTACAAACAAAAGGGGGGCGAGTTAAAGGAATGTGAGGATGTGTGTATATGTGTAAGTAAGTGTGACTCTGTTAAAGTAGAGACCCGGCCGTCCTGGTAATTACCACTCGTGCTGGATTGCTCTTTACACTTAAGTTACAGAGATTAGCTTACCCCTGATCAGACCACGAGGGGTTGGTATGAGTATGAGAAGTTATAGGCTAGCCATAAAACAGAAAAAATGAAAAACTGGTAGAAATAATCGAAGAAACACAGCATTTTAACAAATTGCTATGAACAAAAAATATTTGTAAATTCAATATTTGTGCTACAAACAGATTGCATTCTTAACTCTTTTCACTCTGA